GTTGACATTTAACATTTTTGAAATTCAAAACTAATGAAAAAATGACCATTCTCATAAGACCAATGAATTCAAATTTTCCAAATATAAGAAATTTTCAAGAAAAACCAAGTCTTATAGCTATGAGAGACCCTTTTAATAAAATCTAAATTACCTTCTGATGATTGGCATTTCGTGTCAGAAGCACCCTCTTCTCATTAGCAGCTATTCGTGCGGATTTATGTCCACCCCTATCGTACTCAATATTAACGCAGTCACAGCCACACATGCGGAGTTGCTTAGCCAACCCACATAGCATAGAATCACAGACAACCCTCCACTGATGAGCAGGTATATTCCCGCCAAACCTCCCATCAATCTTATCCTCGCCTTTGTCCACCCGCATGTCCCCCCTGGCCCTGTCCCCCTGAGTCCTCTCCTTGGGCTTCTTCATGGGTTTGCTGGGGGACTGATGAGGCAGATGCTGCAGCTCCCCGCAGATCTCGAAGAGTGGAATTTCCCTCCCAAGACACATCACAGCCAGTGCATCCCACACCTCCAGCAGACAATAGGCGTCCAGCGCTGCATAAACAATCTGACCCTCCCTCAGCGGTCTCCTCTCCCAATTGGAGAACTGATCGGTCTTGTTCAATCGATTGCCCAGAGTGATCTCAACGAGTTTGCTGAGACTCTCGCCATTGAAATTCTGATCCCCCCGGAACGGAAATTCCAGTTTGTACTCCCTCACAAGCTTATGCCAGAGATGATGCAGATCCAGAAAACCCGCTTGTCCCCCCCTGATCTCCCCCAGAGCTGGCAGTGACTCCTTGAACATCGTGATGTCGTGAGTCAGGCCAAAACCAATTTTAACAATACTTTTGTCCTCCAGCAGTCTCACACTCAACTGCTTCCATATCTCCGAGTTGTCTGGCCTCAGTGTCGTCACATCGAGGATGAACACAGCGTTCTCGGTGGCTATTTGTATGAGTGCAAGCTCACTCTTCTTGACCCCGAACGAGGGCTTCCACTCAGCATCAATCCCCACCATGGAGATCCCCTTCAGTCCCTGGTTGATAAACTCCGAGAACTTCTGGGGGGTGTCCACAAGCGTTATTCGATCCCTCGGGAGCCTCAGGGTGTGGTAATTGATGCCGTCCTGGGGGGCGTCGTCCCAGGACTCCTCAGGGGGTTCGTTTGTGCCCGATTGCAGGGGGACTTGGGGGTCCAGGTTGGCCACTGACACTGGCAGTTGATCTTTGGGAATGTTGAAGGCTCTCGCCCAGTACAAAGCCTCGTCAATGTCGTGGGAAGTTATTCCTGTGACCAGATCCAGTTGGAGTCTCGGGTCATTACCCACCGCCTCCCTTGCCATTTCCCTCCAGCACTGGGAGCTCAAGGTGCCGTCGACGAACCTCTTGTAGATGAGAAAGTGCAGCGCACCCTCTCCTCGCTTTCGGTTCAGGTTTGGACAGATGTCGGAGGAGAAGTTGTAGACCTTTACCAGACGAGCGATGAGCTTCATCATTGGGCGAGAGTAGGAGGTCGACATCTTGACGTCTGGGATGTCGTTGGATAGGATGTATTCGTCGAGGACTTGCTGCATTATCTTCGAGGGGGAGAGGAGGTCGTCCAAGTAGGTTATGAAGTCCTTTTGGATCTCGGGGGATGAGGCCATGAAGTCCTCCGCCACTGTGTTCTTCGTTTGGAGGATCAGGGGGAGGAGGAGAACCTCCGGCTGGGAGAAGTGCGACTGGAGGTGCAGGATCGTGGCGTATTGCGCCACTTCTTTGTACTTTTTCTCGTATAGCATACTCTGGAATGAGCGATATGTGGGTGTCAGGTGGGGGTTTTAATTAGTGGAGAATATTTCACGAAATTCCCCGAAATGCAGTTTTTTTTAAGATTTTTAGAAGATGTCAAAGAGTTGAAAGAAATTCTCTAGGGAAATTCATTGGAGAAATTGACAAATTGTGAAAATTGGTAAATATTGTGAAAATTCAGGCAATTATTGGTGAATAAATTTAATTTGAGTCAAACAAATGATCTTCTAATTTTTTACCTTCAAAAAAGGAAGAAATAATTCATTATTCGTCTCCAGCTCGTAAGTACTGGAGACTAATTTCACCAGTTGCATGCTCTTCTGTTTCATCACAAGTCTTAAAACTGCCAATTTCAAATCTGGAAATAGGTATTCAGAGTACGCTGCCTTGTGAAGTGACAGCCACTTTTGAAAATCATTCATTACTGCGAAGAAATATGAATTATTAACCAGTCATTTTGGAGTGAGTTATCCTGCGAGGAACGTACGAACCTGTTAAAGCAAGTGAGGCTTTCGGTTTAATGTTGTTGAAGTCTGCGGTGTTAACAAGAAGTCGCAAAGCACTGAGATAAGGATTTGGTGCTGTATCGAAGTAATCGTAAAGGGTTTTTGTGACAGCGTCACTCTTTTTCCCTGCAACAGAGTTGATTTGATGAGAGGGATTTTTTTGGTGGCACAAAGACCTAATTTTTGTAGTTTTCTAAGAATGTGCCAATTTTTTTCTCATTCAAGAGAACATTTTCTTCAAAGATTAGATGGAAAAGTGGTAATTCTCAGAGATTTTCACCTAAATTTAGTATAATTGTATTTCAATTGTATTTATTGACATTCTCATTTTTTAATTGATGATTTTGCTTCTTCTGAGATTCATCTGCTCTTGTTTCAAAATTTACTGACTTCTCAAATCCGGATCCTGAATTTTATATCTTTCATTTTTTCTTTGTTCAAGAAAGCAAATTTTCTTAAGGATGTCTAGCCAGTGTCGGTCAATTGTCGGTAAATGTGTTTTTTTGTCCATGTCATGGTCAAGGAAAATTCTGTTATTTTTTCGGCTGACAGCCGAACATATAAAACTAACTTTTCTAACGTTAAAAAAAATTAATCGCAAAGTCTCGGCGGAAATGAATAAACTAATTTATCCTTATGCACGGGCTCTTATGAAATTTATGTTTAAATTGATAATTCACCTACTAGAACTCTAAAAATAGAAATAAAAATGGAAGGTGATGTGTAAAATCATACTGAATCCAATGGCCAGAGAAAAATCTGGGGTACCCGGGCGAAAAGAGGAAATATTTCAATGATTCTACCCCACATAAGCGCACATCAACGCATGCATTTGGTGCATTTTGTCTATTTCATTTCTAAGTAATGAACATGGGTTGGTGGATTGAAATTTGTATCAAAGTGAATATCTTCATTTCGCAGTTGAAAAAAATCAATTTTTGACTTTTTAAAAAACGTTAATGAGGGGTTGAAATGTTGATAAAATTTAATAATAATTTTTGTTCAATACAAAGAACCATTCTTTCCCTTTGTGACGAGCCTGAACTGAGCTCAATTGATCAATTTGTCTCTCAGTTATGAATAATTTAAAAAAAGTCTAAAGTGTCCGTTTTACCCCACCCTCCCCTACTTGCGATTTTGGATAAACATCCTCAACGGGAGACGGAACCCCTGTGTCTACATCAAATCTTAGAATTGTGTTTTCTCCTACAATTATTAATTTCTATCTATGAAATTACTTTATCACTCGATTATCCCATTGTTGAGTCAATGAAGTAGTTTAATGAATAAAAAATAATAATTGCAGGAGAAACCACAATTATAAAGATTCATATAAACGCAGGGGTTTCGTTTCCCCTTAATATGGGGTTTGCAAAATGAGTGACTCTGTCCTGAAAATTAGAGACTTTTTCTGTACATGAGTTTCTTCGTAACTAATGATGATGATTAGCGTTGGGGAGGACTTACATAGGTCCCAAATATGATGCAAGTACTTGAGCCAAGTCTTAGTGGCCTCGTCGATGGAAGTGAAGAAGCTCAAATCAAGTTGTTGATTTTCTGAGTGACTATTGCCAGACGGTCGTGGGTCCTCCTCCCTCGAATGCCTCCCTTGCTGTCTCACCTGCTCCATTATCCCCTGTCGACTATAAACCTTACACTATATCACCCGATAAATGAACAACTTTTTCCCCGTATTAGCGAGTGTTATGAAACGTGTCACAGTAACGGTGACATTTAACCTAGAACAATAATGCAGGGGATTGCCGGGTGGCAGTTGAGTTAACAATGAATCAACGTAACTGAATAAATCAACGAATGTTGGCAGTATGATTGATTGGAGCAGCACTTTTCTTCACATTTCTATGATTTTTGCGGTTCGAACGAGTTAATGCGAGGACATTCGAGGAGGGAAAGGACTTCTTCGGGTCTCGTTTCTCGACGGAAATTGATGGCTGAGAAATTGGCGAACAGCTGATCAGAGATTCCTCTTTACCCGCTCGCTCGGTAATTCGTGGGGTAAGGTAGAGGACGGTAACGAAATTTTCAGCGCGCGTAACGCACCTCTCACGCTAGTTCCGCGCAAATTAATCGAATTGAGGGAAATTCAGGTGAATACACTCTTGAATTTTTGGTTATATAATTGAAAATTGGACGTTATTTGGTGCTAATTATTCATATTTTTATAGGAATTCAACTAAATTGGATAATCCTCAATCACAAAATATCCGAAAAAAATAAATAAATAAAACAGTCAAAATCCCATCGCATTGAATTTCCCAGGGAAGTTGCACCTTACAATAATTTAGATTTATTTATCGTAATTGAAATTAAAAAAATATAATAATTGGTAATTTAATTTCTCAATTGTTGATTAATAAAATAATTCGCAATTTGAATATTTAAGTTGGTGATTGATAAATTAATTAGGAATTTGAAAATTAAATTGATGGTTATTTTGAAAATAAAAAAATTGGTGAGTTATATTAACAACTGACTTACTCGAAATTTAATTGTAATTCAAAATTTCGGATGCAATCGAAAATTTCCAGAAGTCCGGTCTAACGTTTTATCCATTTTTCGCGGCTCTAAAAACCTTTTTATTCAGGAAATATTCATTCCACCCATCGAACTGAAAAGTCTTCGGAAAAATAATGGAAAATTGTGATAAATATTGAAATTGATGATGACATTTATCGTAATTAAAATTTTAAAAATATTATAATAATTGGTAATTCAATTTCTCAATTATTGATTAATAAAATAATTCGCAATTTGAATAAGTTGGTGATTGATAAAATAATTAGGAATTTGAAAATTAAATTGATGGTTATTTTGAAAATAAAAAAATTGGTGAGTAATATTAACAATTGACTTAATCTAAATTTAACTGTAATTCAAAATTTCGGATGCAATCGAAAATTTCCAGAAGTCCGTTCTAACGTTTTATCCATTTTTCGCGGCTCTAAAAACCTTTTTATTCAGGAAATATTCATTCCGCCCACCGAACTGAAAACTCTCCGGAAAAATAATGGAAAATTGTGATAAATATTGAAATTGATGATGACACATTTGAGCTCTCAAAAATGATCACAGAGAAAAAAAAAGTTTTGTCGTCAATTATTAGGGATCTGCAATTGAATAATTTTCTCCTCAAAAATGCACTAAGTTTCAATCAATACGAAACAATAACTTGCGATACAAAATAATTGATTAATGTTCAAAACATTCGCTTTCGAACGAGATACATCACAATTATAATCAGATAATATGAATGCCATTAGTACGGTTTAAATAAATTGTCGTAAATTGTCAGTAGAATGGTCCACTAATCGAGGTCAACGAGTGCTACTGGAGTAAAATTACGCTGTGTGAGAGAGGAGCAAAAGAGAGGGGGACGGGTGGGGGATAGTGTAATGAGAATGCAGAGAGCGAATGCGTGTCACGCGAGAATGCCAGTGAAACGAGTGCGTTGGCCGAAAATTAATATGCAAAGCCCTGTATGACTCGAAATTAACGTTCGATCGAGCTGGGAAGCGTTGGTGCTGCTCCCCAGCCCTCTGGCCACTTACCCCACATAATTTTCCATCCCATTTGCAATATTTTTGAATTAATCTAGGTATATTTTTCGAGAATGCTAAAATTCAGCATAGAGAAAAATATTAAATAACATGTTAAATTTTACACTGTTAGAAAATTACTCTTGAAATTTCAAGTGAAAAATCTTGAAATTTTTAACATCGAATAATTTACATGGAATTTCCATTGATCTTGTTATTGATAAATCAGTCAATGTCCTTGAATTTTCAATGAAATTTGATTTCTCAGGATCATACGACAATGAAATTATACTAAAAATGATGAAAATTCAGGCAACTTTTCTTCTGAATGTTTAATCTGTTGCGTAATTTTCGCGATAGGTTTGAAAATCCAGATTGTCATTGAAAATTATATGATTATTCATAACGAAAAACTTCATGAAATTTCCAAGATGAATCATAAATTCCATGAGCAGTTTAGTCTGAAATTGAATTCAAGTTCAGAATATTGAAAACTCAAATGCATCTGTAACTTTGTAAATTTCAAAAAAAAATTCTAACAGTGTAAGCACATTGTTCAGGGGAGTGACATTTCAGTCAATTTACGGAGGAAGAATCATACAATTTCGGATTTCAGTTAAAATTTCAGTGAAATTTTAGGTTTGAGCAGCAGGAAGTTAAAAATGCCTCAACTTACTTCAATTTCCAATCAAAACACGAATATTCACTAAAAAGCAGTTAACAGGGCATTTTTGCATTAAATTTCTAACAGCTCTGCATCAAATTTCAATAACTAGCTGATAAAATCAATAATATTTATTAAATTATCTATTTTTCAACCATTCATTTGATGTGAATAAAAATGCAAGTAAAATTGAACTCCAGCTTCAATCAAAAACGCATTGCAAGCTATTTAAATAAACTATTTCTTCCAGTGTCAGTCAAAGGCAAACTGTAACTGAAACTTCTTTCATTTGTGAATATATTCGTGTCAGCCAAAGAATCTCAAATGCATTTTTCATCACGATGAATTCATATTTTCATTTGAATGACAATGTAACAGACCATTATCATCCTGAAATTTTATTGAATAGGGTTTCTAATGCCGCGGCGCTTTCGGAAATCCCCGCACCTGCCTATTCTCGCGTCTTTTCCGCCCCCAATCTAAGCGTCTACCGGGCTTGAGTTACGTGAGCTAAATTCCAAAGGGAGGCATCCCCACACTCACCACTAGGCGATCTAAACCACCGAAGATGTACTGGAATCGATTAATTTTCGGTTCAAGATTGTTATTTATTTCAATTGCATTCCGGTTAAAAATTTATACGTCATTGAATAAAATATTTCTCAAATTTTCCATTAATTTCTCGCATTGTGTTATTTAAGAGTGAAAAATGTTATGCGAAAGCCCAATTGTTCCAAATATTTATCGAATTGGATTCATTAATGCATTCTGAATTTGCGGATGATTTGTTTCTTCCCATCGTTGTCAATTTATGGAAATAAATATTTCCCTTCCCCCGTGAAAATACAATTTTCTTTTCTCTCTGCACTTAATTGAATTTTCAACAGATTGAAAATTCACAAGAAAAGTTGTCTGAATTGTCACGATCTTCAGTCATTTTCATTGTCATATGAACCCGTGAAATTACATTTCATTGAATATTCAAGAAAATTAACTAATTTATTAATAACAAAACCAATGGAAATTCCATGTAAAATATTAGTTGTTAAAAATTTAAAGATTTTTTACTTGAAATCTAAAGAGTAATTTTCTAACACTGCGGGAATGTAACAGTCAATGATATAGAATTGGCGAGAAAAGGGGGAGCGATGAGGGATAAAAAAAATCAAGAAATTACAAAACAAGGGAGTAGAGTGAAAAAAGAAGAGGTTGCAAGGGATAGGTGGGTATTACCTTGGCAACGAGGATGCTCCTCATCCAAGATCGACTCGATTTCCAGTCTCCTCTGGTGCACGTTCACCAGCTCACGTCCGTGCACATTACTATCACTTCCCTGATTTCATTTCTATTTTTATGCTTCGACTAGATTCCTAGTGTCTCCGGTAAGATCCAATTCGTCACGAAATTCTCGAAAAACGGAACCAACAGGAGGCGCGAGACGGAGAGATAGACCATCGCACTTCGGAGTTGAGGGGAATGGGGATTCGGTGGCTGTTGTGCGGGATAACGGACACGGGGTACAACCTCACCAGCTGGTGGAGGACAGGGTCACGCATCGAGGAATTAACGATGGAAACGTCACACACAGGGGGTGTGCACTGGGTTCTCCTCGTGCGACAACGAATTATGCACATGCTGGCCGTCACACACTGCATCACTTCATCAAGTGTCTAGAAGGCGATCAAAGTCGCTCTGTAAATTCGAATGTATCGAAATAAAAAATTGATAGGTTTTGGTTCTCAAATTTCAGTGATTTCATTGCTGTGTAGACTGTTGGAAAAAAAGTGAAATTTCATGGAGAGTGACATTGAGATCAATTCAGTAACGAAGTGGTAAAAGGGTTTAAGTCGACTCATCTCCCAGTTGAGTTTTTGAGGAATATTTCTGAATCTAAGGGAGATGACGAAAATATCGTAATTACATTTGTTGTAGCTCTCAATCAGCTCTACAAAAAAGTTTATAATAAAAATTTTGCTATCTCCCTCAGATTCTGAGATATTCACTGAAAACTGGCCAATAATCAAAATTGATTTGAACCGTCTTACCACTTAGCTACTGAATTTAAAAAAATAAAAATCCTAGAATTAAACATTTTTTACAGCAAAAAATTGATAATTCCTCATAACTCATTTGAATTTCCAATCCCACCATGAATATTCATTCAGCAGAATTAATTCAATAAAATAATGACCCAATATCCACAAAACCCAAAAACATGAAAATCGAGGTGAAATCTAGACTCAAACGACACGCCACTCAATCCAAAATGCGCAATTTATTAACCATGACTGCCCTCCGGAGCAAAAATTTCCAATCCATTAACCTCTCCACCAAGAAAACAACTCTACCGAGATGAAAATTCTCTTGTTCTGCTGCACATCCCGACAACTTCCCGAGTGAAAGACTCTTTTTAAACCATTCC